GGGTCGGCTAGGAAGGGTTGGAGGGAGGGGTTTAAAATGGAGGTTTTGTGTGCGCGGGGCTGGACTTACAGCAGCATGAGTGAGGTGTTTGATAGGAGTGAATGGAGACAATGGTTTTTAATACTTGTCGTGCTGTTGGAGTGTGAGCAAAAGTAACATATATGAAGGGATTCAGGGAAACCGGCAGGTCCGGACTTGAGTCCAGGAGATGGAAGTACCAGTGCCTGCCACTTGAAGGAGGGTGTTAATGTTGCAGTTTAATAACTGTAGTGTAAAGCACCCTTTGGCATGACGTGATGAGCGATGATGGTGAAAGTTTTTCTTTTTTCGGGCCACCTGCCTTGTGGGAATCGGCCAGTGTGATAATAATATAAAAAATACTAAAATTCGATGATTTTCCATAGAAATTATGTAATACAATTAATCCGTTCCAGCCAGCCCAAACAATATTAACAAAAAATCCATTTTTTAAAGATTAATTTAGTTTTACATACACAAAACAAGAGAACTAAATAAATAAATAAAACATTTAAATCACTTAACTTATCGTTCTTGAGGACTTGTTGGCTTATGGAAGAAGGGAGGAGGAGGAGGGAGGAGAGAGTATTGTTTAATAGGGGAATTCCCCTCCACAAGGACTTAGGGTATCAAGCTTCTCTGGGTTACTTCCCTCCCCTGTTGTTACACTCCCTGCTTGTGCTCACTCCAGCCTGCTGCTACCTCCTCGCCTGCTGGCTACATCTCTGCCTACTGCTACACTCACCTGCCTACCTGCTAACTCCCTGCCTTCCTTCCACCTCCCTGTTTCCCTGCTACATCTGCATGCCTTGCTACACTCCTTGGCTTGCCTGCTTACACTCCTTGCATGCACTGTACACTCCTGCCTCTCTCCAACATCTTCACATTGTCATCTCTTCTTTCATTAATGTTTACCCTTTCCACCACATCCAGCTTCTTGTTTTGTTCTTTCTTTGCCAGGAAGAAGTGATTGTTGATTTGTTTTTGGCACACATCCTGGCAAGTGGAGCACATCACAAACCCCATCTCATATTTTTCTACAATTTCTTTCTTCAATTTCTATTGTGTTTCTCACTTTCATACCAAAGAGTGGCACTTGGGAAACTTTCATTGGGGCCATGGTGGCTTAGTTCTACAGGTCGATTTAATAAACGCGCCAAAAAACCAATAGATTTTAGGAAATTTTGGATGAATGCCGGAGTATATGCTCATTCTCAAGAGACACAGAGCGGACCATCTCCTATGCGTGGATCCGCAGGAGGCGGGCTGAGATCTAATACGGTTGAAATACGGAGCAAACTTTTGGCCCAAAAAACCGGCCTCAATACGATTCGGCCGATATTCAGGTTTCCACTGCACTAAGATATTACCACATGTAGAACATGTTTTCTAGAAATTAGCTGTGAAGAGCTACATTAAGAAGGAGGTTAACTACAGTCACCTGCCACGAGCATAAACGTACTAGCAGAAAAAACTTGTACTGTACAGAAGTAAAATCAATATTTTACTCCATAAATAATTCCAAATTTTACTGTTAAGTAACTTGTACACACTTACCCTTTGAATGTTTCAGTCCTACTATATACGATTGCGAGCCAGTCGTTTTGTTGTATATTTATACTCCCAAAAATATTCCAGCGGTTCAAATCAAGTGGAGAAAGTGGTAGGCTCCAAGGGGAGAGAATAGGTCTGTGTGTCGTCAGCGTGCGCAGTATAAAAAATCTGCAGCACGCAGTTTGAGTGCTGAGAAAAAACTCGACCTATTTTTGGATTAAAACGCGACTTTGAGGTATCAGTGGAACCCCTGACATTCGAGCATTTTTAACGCAAAAATTTCGCTGGACATTCGAAGGAAAACCGACATTCCGATAGATTCGTACGAGAAGTGTCCACGTGTGGCCTGAACTGCCAGTGTGTGCTAGTGTTTACAAGCCAGCCAGTATGCATGCATTAAGGATACATTCAGTAACATTCCATATTATCACTGCTTTTGGTGCTTGTTTCTGCAAAATAAGTAACCATGGGCCGATAAACCTTCTAGTGCCAAGCCTTCGAGAAAAAGGCGCTAATGACTTAATGTGGAAATGAAGGAAAAGAGGTAATTGAAGAAGGTACGAAAGTGGAAGTGCGCGTGTCGGCGCTGGCCAGGTTGTATAGTAAAACCCCCATCAACCAATCTCTACGATCGTGAGCAGGTAAAATGGCAAATCAAGGAAAGCTGTTGTTGCAAAAGGTGCAAGTTTGTTTTCGAAACAGAGATCGCTTAGTGTTTGAAGATTGTGAGAGACTGTTATTGGTGTGGATAAATGGAAAAAACAGATAGCAGGAGTTTGCATCTATTCAGCGATCATTTGTGAAAAAGGCTAGGTTGTTGCATGATGATTTGGTAAGAAATTGCCTGCAACTAGTGGTGATGTGAGTGAATTGAAGGCAGGAAAAGGTTGGTTTGACAGAGTTAAGAATCGTAGTAGCATACACAGTGTGGACGGCATGGTGAGGTTGCAGTTCGGACCACAAAGCGGCTTAAAAATATGTGAGGAATTCAATGAGAATAGACAGTGAAGGAATTGAAACGGAAACAAGTGTTTAATTGTGACGAAAAGGCCTGTTTGGAAGAAATTGCCAAGCAGGACCTACATTATCAGAGCGGAAAAGGCACTCCGGGCATAAGCCTATGAAAGACAGGTTACTTTTCTGTTATGTGTGCCTATGCTAATGGTGATGCAAGTGAAGCCTTTATTGGTGTAACACTCAGAACTCCAGCAAGCATTCAGGCAAAAAGAATATCCTCCAAGGCTAATTTGTGGTGCTGTGGCGGGCAAACAGTAAGGCAGGGGTCACTAGGGACTTTTCTATGACTGGTTTACACCATGCATTTGCCCACTGTTGAAAATTAGCTTTATTGAAATGAAATTAGACCTTAAGTGCGTCCTGGTATTAGGACAATGCCCCTGGTCATCCTAAGACTTGGCAGAGTGACTTTTTTTTATTTATGGGGACATGAGCTTCATAAAGCGTCAAGTTTTTGCCTCTCATACCACTCCTCTCCTGCAGCCCCATGGACCAGCAGGTATTTCCCACCTTCAAGAAACTGTTACACAAATTCTGTGTTTCAAAAGGTCTTTATAGTGGACCAAGAAACTCATATAAGAGTTTGGAGGGATCCTTTAATATCTCAATTGTACTAAACACTTCGGCTTGGGAGGGAGTGACAGATGGACTTGAACTCTGCTTGGAAAAAAAATGTGGGCCAGTATGTGTAGACAAGAGGATTTTGAAGGGTTGAGGCTAACCTGGAATCTATTGCAGTTGAGGTATCCATTGTCGCTTGGGAAGTCCTTGGGGTTGGGAGTAGTGGGGAGGATGTGGAAGAGTTGGTGGAGGAGGACAATGCGAACTAACCACTGCTGAGATGCTTAGATCATCTTCAACAGCAAGAGGCCAGACCTGAGGAAAACAGCTTCGGAGGAGGGATAGAGAAATTTTGACGACGTTGCCTACTTCAAAGATAAGGAAAATGTGGTGCAATGTGGCTTGAAGTGCAAACCTATTTTGATGACAATCTACCCTAACCTAAGGCTATGCAAGCCGTGCTGGTGACTTATTCCACTGACAAGGTTGTGGCCCCTTTAGGAAAGTCATAAGGAATGAGAGGTACAGGCCTCTATTGGGACAGATATGTTGTGCGACAGATGTCCAGTGACTTCTCAAGCTGGTCTCTAGTGGCATTAAAAGCATAAGGGAAGTAACCCCGAACGGACTTGCTACCTCAAGTGAAGGGGATTCCCCTTCTAAACTACACCATCCCTCTTCCCTTCCTCCCCTCCATCAACATCACCAGAATCTTCATTAAAGGTAGTGTCTTTATTCTATTGTTATTAATCTATTGTTATTGTTGTTATTGTAATTATTCTATTGCAGTAAACTTAATATTTCATGTGGTAAAATTTTTTTTTTCTACTTTTGGGTGTCTTGCCCGGTTTAATTTTGAATCCATTATTTCTTATGAGGAAAATTAATTCGACTTTCGACATTTTCGACATTCGTAGCTCTCAGGAACGGATTAGTATCGAATGTCGAGGGTCCACTGCATTTTCGTATAGTATTTATGCTTGTATTCTCGTTTTCTTGGTCTCATTTGATAGAATGAAAGACATTACCGAAATAGAGATGATTTTCATGGATTTTCACGATGAAACGACTTGAAATGCGCTCAAATCACGCAGAAATGTCGATTTTTGCTTGTTAAAGAGTAAATATTGACGTCATTGTCCAATAAGTGTCCAACTAGCATTCTTATAGCAGTCATGATGGGGTGACATTATTTATACAATTACCCCCAATGTATTACAATAAGCGTAGGCTGCATAACTGTAAATCTATTTTTTTGTGTGAATAAAAATTTCAACAGAAAGCAAGAGTAATAAAAGAGGGGCCTGGAGACATGACTGATGAACTGAGAAAGTTATTTTTCTAGTGCCGGGCCATATCTGGCATTGTTCATTCTGGACCATTTAAAATTGGATCTTTTTGGGTAGTTGGAAATCTGTAAATGAGTGGTTTCTTGTGCTCAAACGATAGAACACTGGAGTTCTAAAGAATGCTTGCAGTTTGGTTGATTGGCGTAAACGAATGGCCGAACATCGGGCTCAAAGTGGGTAAAATCGCCAATGCATAAACATGTGAGATTGCTAAATTTGTGAGAAAGTAATTCCATAAGGTTTCCCATCAAATTTCATACTTTTGGTGTTATTACCATCGGGGAAAAGATTCTCTAGCATTTCATAAATGAAAAAATTTTTTTTTCTTCAAAATTTTGCGACACAGGGATTTGGGGTTGTGACAGTCAAGGGTTAAAACTTACAAATTTAATTTTAAAAAAGTAAGGAAAACATCTAGTCACTCTAAGCTGAAAAAAAATAAAAAAATTATACAAAAAATATATATTAGAAATTTTTTTTTAGAATGGCAACAAGTCTTACTTAAAAAGTAGAGTCTTGAGCCATTTGGTGCAGAGGTGATGATGATCTGGGCCTCTGACCGAGGTCCCGCAAGTAGCCTTGGCCCGCGACACTCCTGACTGCATGAATCCCGAAGGGCTGATTGCAGTTCTAGGCGGGCCAGTTCACGTGCATCTGAATATATAAAAAACACAGTTCATAAAATGAAAATTAATGTAGAAACAGTAGACATAAAATAACTCTATTAACATTCTTTCCCTCCACCCCACAAAAAAAAACCCTTTGTCTGTTCGGAGTTCATAATGGAACCACTGGTAACTAAAATTACATGTAACAATATGCATTTATGCTACAATTCTGTAAGTGCTTAACACAAATAACACGAAATGCATGTTACAAAAAATATTTCAACAACCTTCAAGTCCCATTGCATACCAATCAAACAAAAATAGACTTTTCATATGTTAGTAAAAGTACACATGTGCACTATGTGACTTTTATTTGGCATGCTTCGTTCTCCAGGCGCTTTATCACGCCAATACAGTCTTGGAGAGTGAAACATGCCAAAAATAAAATTTCCACGGTACGTTGCACGTGTCTCTTACCTAACACATTGTCGGTGATTCTAACAATTTAAACACAACAATTAATTTCTTGCAGAATTTATTCCTGAGAGACAAGGTAATTAGTGATTACTATCTGGAAATTAAAATTAAAATCACATAAGCATAATGGGTCCAAGAAGCTAGAGAGAATCTACAATAAGTACAAAGTTCCATTTACCGACTCTTAATGACCATCAAAGCATAAAAATATACATAACTACTAAATTTAGTAGCTTCAACTTGCTGCTGTATACTACAATAATACTGTTATATTAATGTACACAATGTACAGTAAACAACAATTATAAATGTACTTTCATTATAATTATATATACCATATTATCAGGTGGAAGTGGTAAACTCGTATGGTTCATATTGCACCTGAAGTATGTATAAGTAGCAGGTGAAGGAGGAGGAGGTGAAGTAGTAGCAGGTGAAGGAGGAGGAGGTGAAATAGCAGGTGAAGGAGGAGGGAGGTGAAGTAGCAGGTGAAGGAGGAGGAGGAGGTGAAGTAGCAGGTGAAGGAGGAGGAGGAGGTGAAGTAGCAGGCGAGGAGGACAAAGTGAAATATCAGGTGAAGGAGAAGGAGGTGAAATAGCAGGTGAAGAAGAAGGAGGTGAAGGAGGAGATGGTGAAGTAGTAGGTGAGGAGAAGGGGGTGAAGTAGTAGGTGAAGGAGAAGGGGGTGAAGTAGTAGGTGAAGGAGAAGGGGGTGAAGTAGTAGATGAAGGAGAAGGGGGTGAAGTAGTAGGTGAAGGAGAAGAGGGGTGAAGTAGTAGGTGAAGGAGAAGGGGGTGAAGTAGTAGATGAAGGAGGAGGAGGTGAAGTAGTAGGTGAAGGAGGAGGAGGTGAAGTAGTAGGTGAAGGAGGAGGAGGTGAAGTAGTAGATGAAGGAGGAGGAGGTGAAGTAGTAGGTGAAGGAGGAGGAGGTGAAGTAGTAGGTGAAGGAGGAGGAGGTGAAGTAGTAGGTGAAGGAGGAGGAGGTGAGGTAGTAGGTGAAGAGGAGGAGGTGAGGTAGTAGGTGAAGGAGGAGGAGGTGAGGTAGTAGGTGAAGGAGGAGGAGGTGAAGTAGTAGGTTAAGGAGGAGGAGGTGAAGTAGTAGGTGAAGGAAGAGGAGGTGAAGTAGTAGGTGAAGGAAGAGGAGGTGTAGTAGAAGGTGAAGGAGGAGGAGGTGAAGTAGTAGGTGAAGGAGGAGGTGAAGTAGTAGGTGAAGGAGGAGGTGAAGTAGTAGGTGAAGGAGGAGGTGAAGTAGTAGGTGAAGGAAGAAGTGAAGTAGTAGGTGAAGGAGGAGGAGGTGAAGTAGTAGGTGAAGGAGGAGGAGGTGAAGTAGTAGGTGAAGGAGGAGGAGATGTAGTAGAAGGTGAAGCAGGGAAGGTAAGTAGCAGGAATGAGGTTGGAGGTGGAGAGTAGTCATATAGGATGAAGTGAAGTAGTGAGGAAGTGAAGTAGGCCGAGAAGTAGAAGAGAATTAGGAAGAGGGCAAGGTAGGAGATGGTGAAGTTAAGATGAAGCAGAGATGAAGTAGCAGATAAAAGATGGAGGCGAGGTTGATGAAGTAGCAGATAAAGTTGAGATGAAGTAGAAGATGAAGTAGCAGATAAAGATGGAGGCGAGGTTGATGAAGTAGCAGATAAAGTGTGAGATGAAGTAGAAGGTAAAGTAGAAGATGAAGTAGATGAAGTAGAAGGTAAAGTAGATGAAGTAGAAGGTGAAGGAGAGGGTGAAACAGGTGAAGATAAAGGAGATGAAATAGGAAAGATGAACAATAAAATGAAGTAAAAGATGAAACAGGAGATGAAGAAAGAGGTGAAAATGATATAGTAGTATATTTAGGAGGGAAGCGATAAGCCCATGGGAGTCATACAGTTCCTGGGTAATAGGAAGCAATCAGGTATGAGGAGAGCAGATCCCATTCCTTCAGTCAAGATCCTTTCAGCAGCTTCAAGGAGCCACCCTTGGGGAGGATGAAGTAGAAGGTGGAGGTAAGAATAAGAAATTTATCTTGACATGATACATAGTTGTACAAAGGAATATAATAGTTGGATGTACATGCCAAAAACCCCTTTGTATGCAAAGCATTTCTGGCAAACTTAATATTAACTTAAGATTAGTAAGGCAATAACAGATAATTATATGGACATTTCCTGAGTTACAGTGAGTACAAGAGATTTAAGTTGTTCTAGGTAACACTAACAGGCTTTAATAAGTTTAGTAGAGAAGTTCAGTAGTGAATAATTACAGTTTTAAAATTAGTTTATAAAAATTACATTACAAACAATGGTACGATTTTAATTAATTTACAATACGGAAATATTACAATGGAACAATTTAAAACAATTTACAATATGAAACTATCACAATTTAGTATTTATTTAAGACAAACAATGGTACAAATTTAATTAATTTACAGTACGGAAATATTACAATGGAACAATTTAAAACAATTTACAATATGAAATTATCATAATTTAGAATTATTTAAGACAATGAAAAATAAGCATCCTAATTTTGAAGTAATGAGTATATGGTCGAGCAACCCTTAGCACAATATACAGTAATAAAGTTGAATTAAGTTTAAGCTGAGCAATCTTAACTTATTTAGAAGTTTTTTGTATAGCTTTTGAGTAACTGGTAGGTAATGTGTATGGTTTGTTTGGTTAATTTTGGGTGATGAGGTGATTTTTAAGTAGTGTTTTAAATTGATTTGCAGGCAGGGGTCCTTTAGTGTGTTCTAGCAATGAATTCCAGATCTTAGGGCCCTTTACATCCATAGCAGTTTTGCATAGGGAGAGATGGACATGAGGGATATCGAAGAGTGATTTGTGCCTCGTATTATGGCAGGAGGAGTTTGACAGGAGGGTTTATACTGTATTTAAGTGTAGTGTCCTGCGTATGTAATAGGCACAATAATAAGTGTGGACGTTTTTATATTAAGCACGTTAAGACTCTTGAAAAGCGGTAGAGTATGCTGTCTAGTGCACGAGTTAGTAATCAATTGCACTACAGCTTTTTGTTGGGTTATTAAAGATTTGAGGTGATTTGCTGTGGTTGAGCTCCATGCACAAATACCATAAGTGAGGAAAGGGTAAATGAGAGAGTGGTACAGAGCAAGAAGAGCTGATTGGGGTACATAGTACCATATCTTTGAAAGGATGCCTTCTGTTTTGGAGACTTTCCTGGATATTTGCTGTATGTGTGTCTGGGATTTGAGACCAGAGTCAAGGTGGAGACCTAGAAATTTGCCCTCTGAGTCTAGAAATGGGTAAGCCATTTATAATTATGTTTAGCTGTACATTTGAAGCTGTTTCCAAATAGTAGCATGAAGTAGGTTTTGTCTATATTGAGAGTAAGTTTGTTGGTAGTCATCCAAGTAGATATTTTTAGTAATTCAGCATTTACAGTGTCTGTTAGTATGGTTGGGTTTGGTGGAGGTGAAGGTGATGGTGATGAATACAACGGCAGTACCAGAGGCAGTGACGAGTGATAATGGGGACGGTGGCAGTGACAATGGAGGGGGTGGCAGTAACATTAGGGGGCAGTGACAACAGGAGATGGCGGCAGTAACATCAGGGGGCAGTGGCAGTAACAAAGGGGGGCGGTAGCAGTAACAACGGGTGGGGGTGGTGGCAGTAACAATGGGGGGGGAGTAACAACGGGAGGGCGGTGGCAGTGACAACGGCCAGGGACGTCGCTAGGGTTGGTGTCACCTGGGGCGGCATCTTTGGTGTCACACCCATGAAATCCAAAGTCGGGGGGATGGTGGAGTAAACTGCAGTTACGTCACTACTGTATGACCAGTAACTTATGTTTAACAATGAGAAGGTTTAAGGACCATAAACTGAACAGGAGAATACTTCTCAATTATATTAATAAAATAAATAATAGTAGTAATATTGAGGAAACAAACTCAAATACCACTTTGAGTACAGCCAACAGATCCTACATTTATTAATCTTCAGCAGTGAAAAAAAAAAACTTGAAAAATAAAGAAAAACATTGCAATATCAGAGAAACACTAGGAACGACTTGACCTTGAGTACAGGTAACACCTCAGTGAATCTGATCTTACATTTGACCTTGAGTACAGGTAACACCTCAGTGAATCTGATCTTACATTTGACCTTGAGTACAGGTAACACTCAGTGAATCTGATCTTACATTTGACCTTGAGTACAGGTAACATCTCAGTGAATCTGATCTTACATTTGACCTTGAGTACAGGTAACACCTCAGTGAATCTGATCTTACATTTGACCTTGAGTACAGGTAACATCTCAGTGAATCTGATCTTACATTTGACCTTGAGTACAGGTAACATCTCAGTGAATCTGATCTTACATTTGACCTTGAGTACAGGTAACATCTCAGTGAATCTGATCTTACATATCCTTGCCTTCAATCCTGCAAAATCATCACATCAAAATCAATGATTTTCCCTATAGTATAGGCCTATTTGTACTCTGTAATCATATAATAAGTTATATAGAAACAAAAGATTTTTCTCTTATGTTGCTGCAGCACTGTTGTGGGCATTAGTGCCACCTTCTTTAGAGGCTTTATGGTGTTACCC